CGATATTGTTCCCAGTGCAAGGGAAGAACTTGTTTCCTCTCCATCATCGTCAGAAACGTCAATGGCAAAGGAAAATAGGCTGTTTGGGAGTCTTGTTCTTGAGAAAAAAAAGAAAAAGAGGTCAGTTAAGGATAAGTATGAATATTATAAATCGACTAGGTCAATCGGCTTACCTGTTTCAAGGCAATTTCTGTACTTGGTGGAAGAAGCGATGTCTGGAGTATCTTTGTGTGGAGGATCTATTTGAGCTTGCCGATGGGATATCCTCTGTGGCCTCATCGGTGGTTGGCTCTTAGGGTATGATGACCGATGGTATGTCTCTGACTGAGGAGGATCAAGCGCTTGCTCAGTTGCATCGACTGATTCTGGCCGGCTTATAGACGTTGGGGCAGATGTGGGGATCGGCATGGACTTCTGTCATTTTGGCTGTGCCTCAGCATCTGTTAAGGCTTTGCGCTTTGCTTGGGCCTCAAAGAACGGTTGGGGGGGGCATCGGCACTTGTTGGTTGTGGAGCTTGAACATCCGTACGCGCTGCCGATGTACCCATTTGTTCTTTGCAAAACAAGTGTAAGGTATGATATTTAACAGATAAAATGTAAAATCAAAGGAATACCTCACGAAGGTTTGTCGAGGTAGTGGTGCTTGATGTCGGAGGAATTGCCGATGGCGATCCAAAGAACGGCTCTTACACCGATGATTAATGTTAATACGGTTTGTGATCGGCATGAGTAGAAATAAATAGGGTTGTTACCTTGAATGCCTTGATCGGGGTTGTAGCAAAGACGACCAATGGAGTGGCCCTAATTGTAGCCAATTTGGACTTGGAAGTGATGGTCTTGGCACGGGTCTTACGGTGAGTCAAAGCAGCTAAGCTAAGGGGAGGCGTTATAATGTCGGTGATATCGGGAAACAGGCCAAAGATTGAAGGGTTTCCACTTTTGCTCATAGATGGTCTTTGGGTTGTTAACCCATCACGAGAAAGTTAGTTACCAATATATGAAAGGAAAAGCGAAGGGAGTTAAAAGAAACTTATCGCATCATTGGAGAATAGTGTATTCGTGGTCGATCATGTGCCGATATGTGAGCAGATATTGCAAATAGTTGTTCCTCCACTCTCGCCACCATTGCTTATATGATTCGGTGATGAAAGATGTTGGCGCCCGGATGGATATATCGGACGTCTGTAGTAGTATCGGCATCGGGGAGAGTAGCACTACCCGCTCCATCTACATTCCGCAGGTGATTGTTTCTCTGGGTTTGATCACATCGGCAAAACAAAGTTTGATTGGCAGTTGCCCAAAAGCCAATTGATGGGATACTGCCAATGGATTGTAAAATTCATACGTGATATTGGTGTTTTTCCCGCTACCGAATGTGTTTACTGGGATTGCCCTGGGAGTAATGATGGCCATCATGAGTTCATTATCTTGATTCAGAGTGTTATCGGCAAAGTTGAAGAGAAGGGGGAATCTGTTTTCTTCGTCAATATAAGGTACCCAGGCCCTATGATCACGAGAAAGACCATTGTAGAAGTTTTGGAAGAATCTGCCGATCTGGTCTTCATTGGCCTCTGTTCCAGGGAGGACAATTATGGCTTCACCAAAATTGAGGGGTGAGCGTGTTGCCGATTCCTCATCCCCAAGCACGTGGTCTTCAGCAATTTCTCGTGGGAATTGTTGGGCAAAGAAGTCCCATTGCAGACGTTTTTGCATATGGGCATTCAGCCACATGTTGATAAACCACCACGGGCCTCCTAAATTGCCGATGGGTTCGCCAAGCAAAAGTTTCTGAGACACTTGATGAAGAAGATGATAAGTGGAGCTCAGAAGGTATCGGCCAAGAGAAAACCTTACACCATTGGCCAAGAGTTCAGCCGCGGGGAGGAAGGCGTTGGTTGGTCCTACTGATCGACCACAGAAGATAAATTTTTCTAACCACATATTCAAGAATGTGGCATGTTCCCTCTGATTAACTATCCCGGTCCTCTGGCATTCTTGAATATATCCCGTCCAACCGCCGATGTTGCGGGTATTCACCCTATGTTCAGATTTTCTGCCATAGATGGAGCCTTCATCGGCAGTTGAAATGTCCAAGCCGGTGAGCATGTAGACATCGGCAAGTGTGGGGGTGGCTGGGCCATGTCCAAACATAAAAAGTATTTGTTGTGTCTGACCAGAAGTAAGCAGCTGCAATCATCATTGACTCGTTCTTTTGCATATCAGCAATGGATAGCCTAATGCATTGGTCTAGCTTCCGTTCTGCCTAGTGTACTTGCATCGACCTGTTGACCCTCAAGTACCAATCTCTCCACCCTTTGGTGGTTTTGGGCTAAGATCGGAATGTATCTTTCCATAAATTTAGAGAGAAATTTTGGGCTCTAAAAGGGATTCTGTTAACCTCTGCATTAATCAGATCAGTTGGATCTGGGTTGCCCATTGGTCCTAGGCATTGGAAATGCGGCTGATCGGTTGGAATAACTAATTTGTTGCGAAGTTCCTAAGTTTAGAGGATCCGAAGAACAAAGAAAAAGAGAAAAAATTACCAACTGTATAAACTCGCCAAGACCAGAGGAATCGAGGTAAAAAGTAACGGAAGTGGAACGAACCGCAGGGACGTCGAAGTTGATTGCCATTATCTTGAGGTAGATGGGGGCACGAGCTGGAGACTCGAGGTTGACGCTGGAGAAAAGTTCTTGTTGGTTGAGGTCGCGCAGTTGTTCGTCGGAGTCGCCGCCGGAAAGAGAGAATGCCAAAGGTTGGAGTCTGAGGGTAGAAGACGAGCGTTCCGGAGAAATCTATTTATAAGCTGCTTGGAGTAGGGGTATTCTGGACTTATCTCTATGCCATGCGCATGTGGGTCGAGGTGGTTCAGATGGATATGGTAACTGTTCGCACGATAATCAAGGGATTGTACAGATGATTTGATGGCAAGTAATCATGACTTGGAAGAGATCTCGGTACAGGATATTTTAATTCTGAAAATGGCGGCATTATTATGTTAGGATCTTACCGATGGATTATTGTTTTGGTATCTTAACCATAATCAGGGCAAGAGTGGTTGGAAATTGTGCGATATTTACTGAGGTGCGTGAATCAGGACTAGATTTGATTAGATTTGATAACAGATCAAGTTTTGGCTTGGAGGATGAGTTACGGTAATTGGGCGAAGGCAAACGTTATCTGGAGTAAATTTCGGAGCATTAATGGTTTTATACTCCGAAATTGGGGGGCATGTGTTGACACCATTTTTTGCACGTGTCAAAATGATCAGAGTGGGCTAATCGGCAGGAGGAGAGTTACTGTATACGCTGACAGCCGTGAAAATCAGCTTGTAAAGATGGTTGCCGATGAATGGTGGTGATCGATGGAAAGGTTGATTTAGACTCGGGTGTTGCCGATAAGGTTGGAGATATTAGTGTCGATGCCGATGAAGGAAGGCTTGAAAACTACTGCCGATGAAACAGGAAGTATGCCGATGGAAAGGAGGTCGGTGAGAATTCCATTGTAATCGAGGCGGACAGGGAAATAGATAGGAGTTGATTTCCTTTTCTATATTTGTTAGAGTATGATTCATGTAAGAGTCACGTGTTTTCTTAGATATGGACTTGGTGTCCTAGTCGTATTTGGTTTTGTCTCTTTAGATCAGGGTATAAATATAGATTGAGGGGCAATGTAATAGATATAAATCAATATCAAAAACCAATTTTTACTCCTATTTGCATCTACTTACTTTTCGGTGACTTCGTCAATTTGCATATTTTTCCTTTTTACGAGTTCTCATTGATTCGGCGAGTTGCATCGTTTCAGTGCAACCTTCGGTGATTCTCGAGTTCCGCGTGAGTACCTCTTGGCCGTGACTTCCGGACGTATCGCTGTTGTCAGGACCAAAGTGCTCGTATCTTCATCCTTGTCGATTAATAGGTCAAATCGACTGGCACGCTTTGGATATCGATTCGGGTATTAACCCTTTGTGTTTGCAGATTCACTTTTGCATCAACATTAGTTAACAAAAATCTAGTAAAATACTTGACAAGGTTTTCAAACCACAAAAAATGTCTCTACGATAAAAATGCTAGAGATAAATTCGGATAAAAAGATCCAAACAAATTATTTAGAGTTTATGAAAATATCTCAATTTTAAAAAAAATAGATTTACCTCTAGAAAAATGGGAAAACCAAGAAAATTCTCAACACATTCAGATTAATGTCTAAACAATATTTTGAAAACTTTCCAAGACAAAAATATAAGATGTAATCAACACAAATGCATAGCATGAATGCATTCAACATTAATATATGTTGCATTCATGCTAGTTACATCTCAATTTTTTGTCATGGAAAGTTTTCCAAACATTTTTAGACATTAATTAAAATGTTGTGGAAATTTTTAGTATTTTTTGAGATTTTTTTGAATTTCCTAGAGCTAAATCTAATTTTTAAAGCTTTTAGACATATTTTTAGGACTCTGGTTTTGTCATGTGTGGTGTTTCAATATATCTCTAAGATTTTTCTCGAAAATTTTAGAAGTTTAGAGATATGTTCCATGGTTTCAAAATCTTATCTAGCATTTATCGGATTTCCATTAACTAAAAAAAAGATGAAACCACCTTCAAAACCTCCTTTGAGAGTTTGGGATAAAATGTGTTTTAAAATTTGATTGAGGAGAAAAACAAAATTGTGGCGATAGTTGATGGAGATAAATTGGACCTTTTTTTTTTTTTTTTTAGTGAACCTTTGGGTTTGCTGGTTGTGGTAATACCATGTGTTCGGCTTCACAAAAAAACAGTGAACCGATAGCCCAAGACTGATGGTCTGAAACCCAGCCCATTGGCCCATCTTACAGCCCACGTAATCATGCACGTGCAATGTGCAGTCGTCGTTGCCCAATTCAACATTTTCCCTCCATCTTCCAGCTTCCGCTATATCTACCTCCCCTGCTTTCCCCTTCTTGTGGCATCCTCTCTGCTTCTGCGTCTGAAATCACCATCGCGGCACCACCAATGGCACGGCCTCGTTGCAGCAACGCCGTCTTCGCGTCCTTCAACGTGCTCACCCTCCTCCTCGGCGCGGCCGTGCTCGCGTGGGGCATCTTAGCCGGCGCGCCCCACCACGGCGGCGGCGGCGCAACCGACTGCCAGCGCTTCCTCCGCACGCCGGCCCTGATCCTGGGCGCGGCCGTCATGGTCGTCTCCATGGCCGGCATCGTGCTGCCGCTCGTCGCTGCTCCTCTGGCTCTACCTCTTCCTAGCGGCGCTGCTCATCCTCGCCGTGCTCTGCTTCGCGGTCTTCGCGCTCGCCGTCACCAACGCCGGGGCCGGCCAGGCCGTGTCGGGGAGAGGGTTCAAGGAGTACCGGCTCGGGGACTACTCCAGCTGGCTCAGACGGAGGGTGGAGAACGACCGCACCTGGGGAAGGATCAGGAGCTGCCTCGCGGAGGGCGGCGTGTGCCGGAGCTTGCAGAGCAACCGGACGTTCAATGAGTTCGTCAACGACAACCTCTCGCCGGTGCAGGTCAGTGGGCTTTGCTAATTCTTGTGAAAGACTTCTTTGCTTGTTAGAAAAACATGCTTAGGCCTTGTTTGGATGCATTTGTATTCACCTCAATCCACATGTGTTGAAGTGAAATGAAATGGAACTTAGTTTAATTCCACTTCAATCCACTTCAACACATATAGACTGAGATGAATAAATGCGCATCCAAGCAAGTCCTTAAGGATAATTGTTGGCGTGTTTTCAAGTTACACTGATGGAACTAAGTAATGATCTACTATGTGATCTTCATAGTATAAACTAATTGTGAAGGAAAAGGTGGCTTTAAGATTGAGTTCTTAAAAAAGGTGCTACTTTTTGTATGAAAATTTGTATTTTCTTTGCATGTATTGTTGCAATTTTTCTTTGAAAATGGTCTTGTTTTTGCATTTTTGTCCTGCAAAGGACATGTTCTTCAGTTTCATAATCTCAGTGTTACCTAATGCATGCATGTATCCCTAAAGTCAACAGGAGGACATCTTCACCTGAACTACCCTTAGATATTTTTGAAAGCAAATGTTTTCTGAACCATTCTTGCGAAGTGATCCAGTGGATTGCTCAAGTTCCTTCTTTTAGCATTTAACTGTTTGTTTAGAACAGGGAGAGGGAGTGACTCTATTGAAAAAAAAAACAGGTGACAGCACGGTGTGTACTATTTTATTCTGTACCCAGGGGCAGGTGCTAAAATCTAAATTATTAGGAGGCAATTTAACATATTTTTAAAATTACATATACAATAAATTTTCATGTAGTACAAGGGGGTTGAGGTCATATTTATAAATTATGTTTTCCTTTTTACTCGCTCAAGGGCGTTGCATGTTTTTTTTTTCTTGATAGAATGCACTACTAAATATAATGTTTTGGTCTTTACACCTATTTTCAAGTTTTCAACATTCCTCCCAGAATTGATATTTAGCAACCTATTCTTGCCTTCAAGTGTATAAAATGTGAAATTTGAGAGATATCGGTATGATAAAGTCAATTTGAGATGTACACAAGTGAAATTTTGTGAAAGTACCTTTCATCTGGCGTCACTGGATGTGATATTTAGCAACCATCACGACTTCATCAAAGTCCTACATGCGCAATAGCTAGAGTAGATGACCAGCACAAACTTGCGATCCATATCATAGGATTTCATCATCGTTAACAACTCTTGTAAACTACTAAAAGTTTTCAGTAGATGATAGTGATGGTAATGGGTAATCGTGAATGGAAGGCTTCTACAGTGTACATCCATTGACTTGGTCTTAGATGTGCACTTGCAAGAGCATGCTTCTACACTCTACATGTGCTTTTTCAATAAAAACATTGATGTTGCAAAAAGGTCAAGTCTACATTACGCACTCAGATTCGGCTGTGATCGTGCATTTTCTGAAAAAAAATGTGTTTAAGCTTAATGACTTTGTGATCCAACTTGCATTGTGTTTTACACAGTCTGGATGCTGCAAGTCCCCAACTGAATGCAACTTCGCATACCTGAACGAGACCTACTGGATGAAGCCCTCAGGTCCTAGCAACTCGTCCAACCCTGACTGTGACGCCTGGTCCAACGACCAGTCTGAGCTCTGCTACGCCTGCCAGTCTTGCAAGGCCGGCGTCCTGGCTAATCTCAAGAACAGCTGGAAGAAGATTGCCATCATCAACGCTGCGTTCATCGCGCTCCTCATCGTCGTCTACTCCCTCGGATGCTGCGTGCTTCGGAACAACCGGCGGCAAAAGTACACCCTGGTTGGGAAGTAGTAGCTAGGAAGAAGAGTCTGATTTGGATCTTCAGAACTCAGAATTAAAATGCGTGCCACTGCCATGGAGTATATTTCAGCCTGTTCGCTTGTTGGTTCCAGCCAGGGCTTATGAGCCAGCCAACAACGTTTTTCTCTCACAACAAACCAGCACCAGCCGGGCTTATCAGCTCAGAAACCAACCAGCGAACAGGCCATTTGTGTTCTCTTATGTTCTGAAGCTTCTGTGCAAGAATGTTGTTGGATGGGTCTTCTTCTTCTATGTAAATGGTCATCGTGTGTGCCAAGGTTCATGGACCGGTTCTTATTATGATATATGTGAGAATAAAATGGAACCATGGATTTTGGATCAGACATTTTGTCCATATCACATTTTTTGTTTAAATTTCAGATTGACAGAAACAGAGTAGAAGTTCTGAATCACGGTGATCACTATTATCATGTTTGGAATTTAGGTTGTGCATTGTGGAGGTTTTTGTTTCACGAAAGCTACAAGCTAGATACCCTGAATGCAAGGATGAAGTTTTGGCAGTTTTGGTAATGTTTGGGATTTTCGGATGAATTATTGCTTCAGCATATTGAGTGGGCACATACAACTAGCAATAGTGCTCAAGGATCCTAGGTGGTAGTAGCAAGGCCTACTACAGTTGGCAGAGGGGGTCCAACCTTTTGACAAACCTACGGAAGTGCTGATAATACAATTATTTGCTTTCCAGCTGATCGAGACCCAACATGTGGATGTGGGCATCGTTTAGATTGAGGTTAGGAATCAGTATTTGGCATTGTAGCATTTTCGTTTGTATTTGACAATTATTATCCAATCATGGCCTAACTAGGCTCAAAAGATTCGTCTCGTAATTTATAATCAAACTGTATAATTAGTTATTTTTTTTATCTACATTTAATACTCCATGCATGTGTCCAAAGATTTAATATGATGAAGAGAGTGAAAAAACTTGCAATCTAAACAAGGCCGTGGTTAATGTTCATAGCCTGCCTTTTACAGTCTTGATGAGTATTTGGTGTCCCACCACATCTGAAACTGAACAAAAGAGAACAGTAAGAAACTGATGTAGCTTCAGATCATAACCGCTAGGCTCTTTCTTATCTTTGAAAATAGGAGTATCATATATAATAACCAAATGCAGCTGTTCTGACAAAATATTTAGTCTCCCAATATTTTCCCTATCCACTGTGGTGTACGGCCGGTGTACCCTCAGTGATATTGAAGCATGCACTAGTGTGCATACTTTGGATGGGCACAAGTACAATAATGCACTTATGTAATTAGTTCATTGTCTAGGATGCTATTTACACATTGACATACCCCCACACATGTATAGCTGCCCAGTTGAGCCTTTTGGAACCGATTGACATTTCCATTTCCATTGATAATGTTCTTACTGGACTAAGGATTAGGAAGGACATGAAAGTCTGTCGAGATCTTTCTTAGAAAGCCCGACCGAGACGAGCCAAGCCAGCAGGGGACTTGGGCCATTTGTAACAAACTGTTGTCTAGGAGTTGTGGCTCTTTTTTTTTTCTTTTTTGCTGTGAGACAGACAGGTACGTGACAATATCGATTCATCCCATGTTCTTCGGCACTATTTCAATACTACTTTTCAGCGAACGAACAATGTTTTTCTCTCACAATAAATCAGCATAAGTAACAGCAGCATAAGCCAAATTTCAGCGAAACGAACATAGCTAGGAAAACGAATCTGTATAATGTCCTGTTGGCAGTGTGGTACTAGCTACTACTGTAGTAGGGAACAGGGATTTGCATGTGAGTGTTCGTCGGATTGAATCATTACCTTGGCAATCTTAGTGGTCTACATAAAAGTTGCAATAGTGCTGTCGAATCCTAGGCCTCTAGCTACTAGATGCAACGACGGATACATACAGTTGTTGCATACAGAGGGTTCAGGTTCAACCCTTTTTCATACACATACACCTACTGAAGTATTGATAATGTACACTGCTAGTATTTTTCACTGGTTTCCTTGCTGGATCACAGCATGATAGTCCTAGTTTCTGAACCTGAAATGGCAGCAATGAGAAACTTGAAACTTTATTTGAAGACACAGGACACTGCTTACTCTTAGTTCTAGTCTTGCTTAAAATAAGTGCTCCCTCTCCTAGTACACAATACGAGTCACCTTTGATCACACCACCTCTTTTTTCCTTAGCAGTTAAGTACATACAGGCTAGTAATATTATGCCATATTTTGGACATACACAAACAGAGCCTTAGACCAGAAAAATCCCTGGCCCATCCCATCAGGACTGCAGACTCCACGTACAAGCAGATTATATTTTGCCCACCCAATTAATAAACCAAAATTTGCTAGTTATTTAACAACGACAAAACTTATTTCACCAAATGGATGATGGCTTGTGTTCATCCTATGCTGTGAGGGAGGAGATACAGCAAAACCAGGTCCATCTTTGCACTGACATGTACTTGCACAATAGTTACATTACCCACTGGTACTGCTGCTAGTACTGCTAGCTATAGCTATAGTAAGTTGGCCCCCGGAGACAATTCATCGGACAGAGCTCTCCCATGCCCATCCAGATCAGACGACGGCTTCAGTTGCGGTCCTTGCCTTCTGTGCATGCATGACATGAGCCTGGTGCCCAAGGATTTTCATTCAATCCTCTCACACCTCTCATGCAGCTCTGCACCTGCAGTCTCGCAGTTGCTGCTCCGTCCCTGCAATGCATTCAGCAGGCAAATGTTACTGACAGCGATGGAGGATATATATATGGGAAATTGTTTGTCATGGCGAGTCATTTTTTTATGAAACAGGAGGGGTTTGAACCCCGACTGAAATTTTTATTAAAAATAAAGGTAAAAGTACAAAAAGATACAATCCTTCAGGTAAATATATTCTTCAATGTTTCAAGTAAGGTTAAAAAGAAGAACCTTTAGATAGATTATCGTGCTATGAATGTGGCAAAAGTAAGCTTAAGTAAAGAAGATTGTTACTTTGGGCAAATCAAGAACTAGAAAAGGAGGCAATATAGCTGTATATTTCAGTAAACAAGTGTGCATTCAAATGGAAAAATCAAAGCCATGGACTTTTTTCTAAGTAGAAAGGAAAAGTTGTGTGAGATGGAAGTGGAAGGGTAGCTAAAACTTCAGAGTATGCCATATGGATATGCAATGTACCACAGATACATCATCACACTTGTGTAAAAGATCGAAGAGACATTTCAATCACTGACAGGAGGTACAGCAGTACAGTACTAGCTACTTATATATTAGTAATAACTCTGAATATAATAACCGTCAACACCCAAAACCCTGAATTCAGAATACTAAACTTTCAGATACTCATCAAAATCTAAAGAAACAAATAGCAGATGCAGACTAATATATTTACTGCACATCACACATAGATTAAACTAGATCATCCACCATCAAATCAAATTATAAAAAGACTCAGAAGTTCAAAAGATTGCACAGACAGCAGAGGACACTACACTCACCCTGAGATGTGAGATGAGATCATGAGACCTCAGCCCAGCTGGGAACGGGATCCTTTGCAGAGGCATTGCAAGAGCTCCACCTGCGTCTTGAGGCACACAACGTAGTCCAGCGTCTCGGAGAGCAGGGAGAGGCCACGCATCGCCTCCCCTCCCGGCACAAGGCTCCTCAGCACCTGCAGCCTCGTCCTCACCATCCTCCTGGCCGCCGCCATTGCACTGCATCTGCTGCCTCCTCCGCCTCCGCCGCTGCCCGCTGCCAGCTGTAGCGAGCTCCTCCTCTTCCTCCCGGCGGCGCCGCTGCATACCCAGCGCGACCTCCGCACGATCCTCCTGCTCCGGGCTTCCTTCCTGACCCTCGCCGCCGCCGCGGCCATCTCGTAGCCGGCGCCGCCCATGATGCGGCGCAGGAGCGCCTCGTTGCGCTGCTCCGCTGCGTGCCTCGCGACGAGCGCGCGTGCCCACGCCGTCGAGCGCAGCGCCGCCGCGCTTGGGCGGGCCCGTGCGGACGCCAGCGCCATCGCCACGTCCGAGGAGAGCCGCACGGCGTCCCGGCGCTCCTGGAGGCCCATGGACTTGGACGCCTGGCCGGCCGCCCGCAGGCTCAGCAGGAGCTGCGCCATGAAGGCCTTCTTGAACTTCCTCGGAGCATGCATTGGTGTCACTCGCGACGAACAAGCAATGGCAAGCTAGCTTCGTTCCTTTGCTTCTTTTTTTTTCCTTTCAGTTGGTTCTTGGAAGGAGGAGAAGAAGAAGGTGATGGATGGGATTGTGTTGCTGTAGGAGTTCCAGCTGCAAGAGGAGAGGTTTACGTGAATATAAAGCAGCAGGTAGCCAGCGCCCTATTCACTTACTTATAAACCATATTTTTTAGTCAACAAACAATATTTCTCTAACAATAAATCAGTCAATAATATTTTTAATCATATTTTATTAGCCAAGCGAACAGCATGTGGACCCAAAAAAGTTGCATGTGGGCTTGCTCAGCTGCTATTCATTGCGCAGCGTGCAGGGTATATTGTTCTGCTTTGAACCATCCATTTGGATTTATTAAAACAAACAGCCCTGTTTGCATTGGGATATTGGCCCTATCGCTTCTCTTATAATCCGTCTTTTCAGCTTGTTTTTTAGAGGTAGAACGGTGTTTTTTCTCACAACAAATCAGACAGAATAGTATTTCGACTTGTTTTTTCAGCGAAACGAACAGAGCCATAGACATTTTAGTACTGTATGTACTAGTATTTCGTTTTTTTCCTGGTAATTGCAGAACAAGGAGTAAATTCGGCTAGAGTAGTACTTATTAGTTACAAAATCGGATAATTAGTTATTAGTACTGATAAAAGGGCAATATGCTGTACATGTACTTTAGGTGATGAATGCATTTTCTTTTTGTTAATTCCAAGTGGAGAGGTTTATGATACTGAATAAGTACCATGAGACTAATCATAGATGAATACAATTATGTAGTAAATATATCCGAAGATATAAATATTGATATTATTTTCTATAAACTGAGTCATTTAAAAAAAAAAATCACGTTAGTTCCAAACTAGAAGTGCACTCCTTTTAGAACGCACAAAGCAAAAATATCTCCGATACATGAGGGGACCCACCCCAACCCCGAATGGTCATTTTAACTGTCAAAAGCAGTTATATAACTTCCACTGGAGCGAGAATCTTTTTCTATGAAATTTTATGTGCTCATTATTAAATAAATAAACTTAGGGAGTAAGAAACAAAAGGTGAGAGGTCTGAAGTATGAAAGATGGTACGGGAAAAGGAAAAGAAGAGGAGAAAGAGTACACTTTCTGTGGGGGAACATGTTACAAGGAGAGAGAGAGAGAGGGGGTTGGGGTGATGGGCAGAGAGAGAGAGAGAGGGCCAGAGGCAGACCATGCACATGCCTGCACATGCTGGACCAGCCCCACTTGGAGACCCTATAATAACATCCAAATAGTCATCATAAATCAATGCTAAACATTGTTCCCGGAGAAACGGAAGACACGTCCATTCGGCCAAAGATGACTCACTAATCAGGTCGATAATTAGGGGATTCTTTTTCCTTTGTCAAAGTAATGCACTGCATTTCCATCTAAACAACATCATTGCCAACTTCTTTAATTAATTGGCTACTGCAATGTCAATTTTACTGTACAGCTGTGGCTTCTGTTCTGGGTGTTGTTGGTAAAAGTGTCATATACATAATACAAACTAATGAGTTAGTGCAACTTAGCATGTAAGCACATCGAGCAATTAGCAAAGAATGATAAGAAAAGACTACAAAATCATTGTACTAAAATTATAGCCCATGGAGATGGCATACCATTGTTGAAATCTTTTAGATTTAAAAAAGTAAGTTTTACCATTGTTTTGTCCATTAGATTGCAAATTTTGTACAGGTCATTAGACAACCTAGATATTTTAAAAACATGATATCGTACTTCTATTACTACTCATCCATGTTTCAAAAAAAAGTCAATTGCGTTGATTATGACATACTAGGGCTAGTAATTTTAATTCATGTATAATTTTGGGCCACGACTAATTAAAATTCCTTATTTTCGCTCTCTTTTTTGAAACATTTGATTATGACATACTAAAGTAAAATTCTCATGAGCACCTTTGAGAAACTTAGGGCTGTTTGAATTGCTAGTAGTTACTAGTCGTGATTATAAGCTAGTTTGCTAACAACTAAAAGATTTTGCTAAATGCAACTCAAGATTAATTTTTTACATATTCTACATTTAATCCTCATGCATAATCGCTCCATCGTCCGAAAAATTGATGTGATGGAGAGAGAGTGAAAAAACTTGGAACTTTGAGACAATCTAAACAAGCCCTTGATTTAAAAATGGAGTAAATTGACCATCCTTTACCATTGTTTCCGTACAGGTCCATATATACTCTATTTTTTCTAGGCCACAGCTATTCCGTACAGGTCATTAGACAACCTAGATATTTTAAAAACATGATATCGTACTTCTATTACTGCTCATCCGTGTTTAAAAAAAAAAAGTACTACTCATACCGCAACCTATGGAGGGTTTAGATTGCAAGTTTTTTCACTCTCTCTCCATCATATTAAATCTTTGGACACATGTATGGAGTATTAAATGTAGATAAAAAAATAACTAATTACACAGTTTAATTGTAAATTATGAGACGAATCTTTTGAGCCTAGTTAGGCCATGATTGGACAATAATTGTCAAATACAAACGAAAGTGCTACAATACCAAATACTGATTCCCAACCCCAATCTAAAGAAGGCCCAATCGAATAAAACAACATCTTTCGTGATTATGACATACTAGGGCTAGTAATTTTAATTCATGTATAATTTTGGGCCACGACTAATTAAAATTCCTTATTTTCGCTCTCTTTTTTTGAAACACATTATATGCATGCATACTAACCTCATATGAATAAAAAAAAGTAATCTGTATTCTCATGAGCACCTTTGAGAAACTTAGGGCTTGTTTGAATTGCTAGTAGTTACTAGTTGGGGCTAAAAATTAGCCTAAATTAGCTATGGTTGTTAGCTAGTTGGCTAACAACTAATTAAAGATTTTGCTAAATAAGTAGCCCACTTATTAGCTCTCCTGTTTAGATGCACTTGAGCTAATTTTAGCTAATAATTTTTAGCTATCTAGCAATTAGCTCTTATATCCAAACATACCCTTAGTTGGTGCCTCATTTTTAATAATAGCGTCATTTTGTTCTACAACAGAAACATAAAAATATACAAGCACCCATATGAGCATGCACTAGCGTGCACTGTCTCTTTCTCTGCTCCCTCATATTCGAACACTATACTCATGTAGATAGTTTCTTATCTTTATCTGATTATGATTGACTTTAGTTACAGATTATTATATATGTTTTTCTGTCCTAATTCATAGTTTTCCCCTTACATTGCGACTCTGAGTGTTTGACATGAGTTTAGTTGGAAGCCTCTCTCATTTCTTCATACTCCAACCATAGATACTTTATTATCTTTATTTGTTGGGATGGACTTTATTAATTTACAATTATAATTACATGATGCATTGCACCTCCAAGCGTGTGGTTGATATGTATCAGTTAAAACTCTATTTCATATTTTCATACTTTAACACAATACTCATATAGATATATACATTCTTTTCTTTATTCATTGAGAGCTTGAGATAGATTTTAGTTACCAATTACTTTATATGCTTTCTCCTTTTAACTTTGAATCGCGCCTTCATGCATGCCTGTTTAATATAAGTTTTGTTGGAACCTTAGCTTAAACCATATGTTTTTGACATGGAAAGTGGCATGATCAGTTTTTTGCATACATGTATATATGTTCAACATGGTGACATATATCATGCAGTGTATACATACTTTGAATTATTTTTTCCATATTAACAATAGAAATGAGTAATTCCATAGAGGCATATATAGAAACAATTTGGGATATTTCATAATGCCATATGTATCTAATTTGGTGTTAGAGGTTACTTTAGCTTATTCTTAATTAATAACACAGAGGTGGTCTTATGTAATCTAGATGCAAGTATGGGGTTAATTATTTTTATAACTTAAGTTAGTTTTTCTATATTAACAAAGATAGAAGTGAGTAAAGTTAGAAGCATATATAGTAGTACTTTTGGATATTTTGGGGTAGGGGACATGTGGTGTGTGTGTGTGGGGTTTGGTTTCCTTTGACTATTTCTATAATGGTAGATGTGAGATTTTAGAAAATATAGTGAGATGACAATATGTTTCTAATGGTAGAGTCACATGGCCACATGTTTCTAATTTTTTGTGTTAATTTTAGGATTTATCTTTTTCTAGCACGTCTTATGAGTAATATTGTGGGGACTTCTTATAGAAAAATCTTCAATTAGTATAATGACCAATGGTAATATTCTTCTTTTCACTTGTGTTCCAATGTCATACTTATAGAACTAGCTCACAAATATATCAAATAAAGTGTTTTGATGGACAGTTTAGCAATAAATTAGTCATGCATAGTTTTTATTAACTGGCTTACGCACACTAATTATTTAATTAGCAATGCACATGCTATATAACCCAAACGTAAGTAAATTTTAAATTCAGCTAGAGTACATACATGGATTGTACAAAGAGAGCATTGAAGTATGCGTCAGATAGTATATGCAAGTCTATGGTATGATTATTGTTGTACACTGTTGCAGCTTTGCATGTGTTTCTCCATTGGGGCTATTGCGTTCTTGCCCCTACTTTGACGTCCAATTGTGATTTTACCCCTTGCTTTTGTCATCATTGTGATTTTACCTGTTTTTTTAAAACGAAGCTTAAGTTTACCCCTACTCCGGGAACAGCAGGTACCGGTGTCAAATAGGCTCAGTAAGGACAAGTTTGCCCATGCGAAATTGCCCCTACTTATCTGAATACATTGTGATTTTACCCCTGTTTTAAAAAAAAAAATTGGCAGCATCATTGCACAACCTGTTACATATGATTCCACACAGCATGCAAATATAGATAGATAATATCACATCAAATGAAAGTGTAGCAAAAGTATCCATACAGTACCAAGCCTCATCCAACATACAACTCCAACAAAAGTGGTAGCTAATAGTGAGATATTACATGTTCAGTGTCATACAT